GACTGGAGTGGAGGGTGATCTAATTGCTTGGCACTATGAGAAAAATCGCATATTCTCTATTAAAAGTGCGTATAGACTAGCATTAAATCTGCAGGATGGCAAGGGTGAGATTGGAATGTCCAGCATCGCCGTTGGCAAGGGAAGGAGTGCATGGGATGTTATTTCGAAGGCCAATGTTCCTCAAAAAATAATAAGTTTTGCATGGCGAGCTGCATCCAACAGTTTGGCTACCCAGGTAAACAGAGTTACTCACCACCAAGCGGTGTCAGGCAGGTGCACTATATGTGGGGTGGAGGATGAGAGTACCTTCCATGCCCTTGTATTGTCCAAAGGCGCGCGCCTTCCGTTTCGCAGTGAGGGAAGTGTGTAATATCCATGTTCTCTATTAAAAGTGCGTATAGACTGGCATTAAATCTGCAGGATGGCAAGGGTGAGATTGGAATGTCCAGCACCGCCATTGGCAAGGGAAGGAGTGCATGGGATGTTATTTGGAAGGCCAATGTTCCTCAAAAAATAATAATTTTTGCATAGCGAGCTGCATCCAACAGTTTGGCTACCCAGGTAAATAGAGTTACTCACCACCAAACGGTGTCAGGCAGGTGCACTATATGTGGGGTGGAGGATGAGAGTACCTTCCATGCCCTTGTATTGTCCAAAGGCGCGCGCCTTCCGTTTCGCAGTGAGGGAAGTGTGGAATATCCCTATTCATGCTTTGGAGAGCGTGGCATCTGAGGAATGACTTGATCTTTGGAAAGGGGAAAGAATCCTTATCTGCCTCTGTTACTTTTGTGGAAAATTACTGGAAATCTTTCTCTACAGGAAAAAACTATGTGCAAGTTGATTTCAGCATCAAAGGCAAGGGGGTGATACATAATTGGAGGTATGTTACCCCAAACGTGAATCTTCGTCATGATTGGGAACCCCCTGATCAAGGGTATATTAAGATAAACGTTGATGCTAGTTTCGTGGAGAGCATGAGAGCAGCTAGTGTCGGGATTATTGCCAGGAATCATCTCGACAAAGTCTTGATCTCTTCATGGGATTTTATTCAGTCCTACACCTGCGTGGACGAAGCGGAACTTCGTGCGGCTCTCGCCGGGTTATACATCGGTATTACTCTTCACACACCGGTTGTTTTAGAAACTGATTGTGCATATGTTGCAGCTTCTCTAGAGAAAGAATCCATTGACAGGTCTCCTCTTGTCGATCTGAAAAAGGAGGCGATGAGCGTCTCAAAGCTCATAAAGGATTTCAAGGTTGCGAAGATTGATAGGCGGGCTAATAGGGCCGCGCATAACATTGTGTATCATGCTCGTCCGCTTAGGTGAGGCGCTCGTGGCAAGCACGACACAACCGATTAGTAGTAAACTGCATTTTTTTTTTTTGAAATCACTAATTAAGGAGTACTCCTTGCGGAGATCACTCCACCCCAGGTTGCGACAAGTGGCGCGCTGCATGTGAGCCACTTGTCGCAACATGGGAGTTTTCTCTTTTTTCGTAGATTCGTTTATTCAAAATGTTTTATCTCTTAAACAGTGCGTCCAAATCTCGAACCGCTTTCGTCATTGGATTCCTCGCGTCGAGATCTTCAAAACTAGATCCCATGTTGATAGGTTTTGACGATCTTTTTTTTCACGAAAAAACCGACGAAAAAACCGAACCGAAAACACGGGTTTTTTTCCCTTTCCGAAAGAGGCACGCCCGTGCCTCTGACGAAAGCACAACCGTGCCTCTGGCGGAAGCAAAACCGTGCCTCTCGCGAAAGAAAAAAAACAGAAAACACATTTTTTTTCCTTTTTCGAAAGAGGCACGCCCGTGCCTCTCGCGAAAGCACAACCATGCCTCTGACCGAAGCAAAACCGTGCCTCTCGCGAAAGGAAAAAAAACAAAAAATATGTTTTTTACCCTTTTCGAAAGAGGCATGTCCGTGCCTCTCGCGAAAGCACAACCGTGCCTCTCGCAGAAGCAAAACCGTGCCTCTCACGAAAAAAAACAGAAAACACATTTTTTCCCCTTTCCGAAAGAGGCACGCCCGTGCCTCTCGCGAAAGCACAACCGTGCCTCTGGCGGAAGCAAAAACGTGCCTCTCGCGAAATAAGAAAAAAAACAGAAAACGCGTTTTTTCCCCTTTCCGAAAGAGGCACACCCGTGCCTCTCGCGAAAACACAACCTTGCCTCTGGCGGAAGCAAAACCGTGCCTCTCGCAAAAAAAATGCATTTTTTACGCAAAAAATTTATTTTTTTCGAAAAAAATATTGGTCGAAAAGCTAGGGAAGACCGGTAGAAAACCAAAACGTCAAAAAAACAAAAAAAACTTTTTAAAAGCCGAAAACGCGTGCGTAAAAATAAAAAAAAAATCCAAAGGGAGCGCCCAGAGCGCGACACGTGGCGAATGGCTATGAGCGCGCCAAGTGGCGCTGATCGTTGCGAGGCTCCCGAAGGAGTGCTCGTTAATTAGTTGCTCCCTTTTTTTTTAGATTTTTATGTATTTTTCTTAAAAAAATCAAAATAATTGGGCCAAAATGGCCCCCAGGTCATGGTCCATAAAGGCCACACGTGCCCTGCTCAACCCGTTTTGTTAATGGTGCGACTATGTCTCGCTTGACGAGAGATAGTAGCACATCTCGCCTCAACAGGTGCCAGAATGGGCCGGCCCAGCGCTGACCACAAGCGTTCAACGCTCTTTTTTCTCACCCCCCCTTTCCCAACTTTTCTTTCATTTTTCGCTTTACTTTTTTATACTTTTGCTTATATTTTGGAATATTTATAAAATACCTATTATAAAAATCACTTTGCAGACTAATTTGAAAAATGTTAATCACTCATTAGAAAAATACGAAACATGTATAAAAAATGTTTCTAATGTGTACAAAAATTGTACAATGTGTATGAAAACAAGTAGACATCAAAACATATATATGAAAAAAAGTTAATCATGTATATGAAAAATATTAACGTGAATATAAAAAATATTCCTAATGTATGCAATAAAAATATGTATATGAAAAGGTAGAAATCAAACATATATATGGTTTAAGAAATGTTAATAATGTATGTAGAAAATGTTGAACATGCACACACAAATATTCCCGATGTATACAAAACATGTATTACAATGTGTATGGAAAAAGGTAGACATAAAAAAATAAGTTTTAAAAAATATTGATCTTGTATGCGAAAAACAATAAATATCTATATAAAAAATTTCTTGGCGTATGTGAAAAAAGTTGACGTCAAAATATATGTTTGATAAAAATCAGGTATTTGGAAAAAATGTTCAACGTGCACACAAAAAATGTTTATATGATGTTCACGTGGGGTCTTAATTGAATCCGAGTGAACGAATAAAAACACGAAAAATGGGTCGCCGGGAGGGGGAGGGGGAGGGGGATCCCTCGGGTCGGAGACATACGATATACTCGCTATAAGTGAGATGCAGTCTTTGCGTTTAGTTAATTTGTCGTGCCTGTCCCCGAAGGCGAGACCCGTGTGCCCACACGGCACGACCCGCTTATAAACATTCCTCTGCGTGTCGTGCCTAGGCCAGACTGTTGCCGACCTTTGCCATGAGTTGAATTAGACATGAATTTAGACTCAAATGGGAGGCTCACAATCTCGCAAAACATGGTCTTTCGTTTGGAGTCCATGTGTGGTTAGGCCAACCCGTAGATCTTCTCTTCTTCGTATCTGTAAACACTGCAACGGATTAATAAAGTTATGCGAGTTTGTGTAAAAAAAGGAGTAAATATTTGCCCCCTTCGCTCTATCCTGCAAAATACGAGGACCAGTACACAAAAGCGGCAGGGGGCCTTCCGCAAAAGTGCCAGCAGCACCGCCCTGGCGCCGGATCTCGCCCATCCCTCTCCCATCGAACGGCCCATAAGTCGCTGGCGCAGTAATCCCCACGTCGCACAGGCCACCTTCTCGACCACAGGCTCGCTAACCCTAAATCTCCGCCTCGTCCGTCGTCGCCACCACCATCGCCGTTCCGCCGCCGCCGCGCCGTACCCCAGGCGCCCCCGCTCCCGCCTGCGGCCTCTCGCCCGCGCCGCCGTCCCCCGTTCTTCCCCGCCGGAACGTCGAGCCCCTGCCGTCTCCGCCGCGTCCCTCCCCGGTCTCGGGCCGTCGGGTCTCCTTTGCTTGAGGTATGAGCCAGGCAGTTCCCACCCAGCGATTCCCTTGGTTAATCCCTCCCGATTGGGAGGAGGCCTTCGCAATTTCTCGGCGCACGCCATCTAGATCCGCCCCTGAGGATAAGTAGCCCACCCGAATTTGCAAATAGGTCGAGGTCTGAATTGGGTCAACGATCTTGTTTGAAATTCAATAGGGTTTGTTCTTGTTGGGATTTGTTGGGAAGTTCTGAAGTTGTGTGTAGCAGGGGGCCTAGAATTCAATGGGACTTTGTTGGTTAGGCGGGGGGTGTGGGTTGTTCATTGCAGGTGTTCTTTCCTACACTGCAAACATCAGAATCTTTCGGGAGTGTGAGCATGTCGGGGTGAATCAAGGGGATGGGGGTTTGCCGCATTCATTTGTGCTGATTATCTTTGGTCCATCACTTCAAATAAAATTTTACCCATGGACGCTTTGTTTTATTAGCAAGTAGTGGAAAGCGCCTGCGGAGGCTGTGGCTCGAACAAGGGTGGGCAGGCATGCTGCTAGCCATCTGAGCACTGCTCTCATTAGTCCATCTCTTACGTTATGTCACATGTTTTTTCCAATGGGTTTCCTAGTAGTAGTACATCTCAGATAAGCCAAACATGGTCTTTCTTTTGGTGCCTAGTTGTTCTGAACTTTTCCCCTTTTTTGTACTCTCTTGACCGCACTAGGTTGTGTGTATTACTGACTTCTTTATCTGTCCGTAGTTTCTATTTTGCACTTGTCTTCATATTGCTAATGCATGCTTAATACATTTGTCATAAGTTACTACTTATAATACTGCTCGTTTTAGATGTTGGGATCTAATACTGTATCTCTACAGTTTGTCATTGTTTTGGTTGCAAATGGCGACTGAAGCTGCCTCTCACATCTCTGGCGGTTCGGAGTCAACAACGGTGGCTTTGCTAGAACAACTTACTGAAGTATTTGGCAAGCTGAAGTCCCACACAGAAGCATCCCTACAATTGCAAAGTGGCATCCAGTGGGAAGATATCAAAGTACATTTCCTGAACCTTGAGAAGTCATACAGAAGCAAGTGTGATGAACTGGAAGGAAAGCAGAAGGCATTAGAAGAACAGAAAGCTGGAGGTCGTAGGCTGATTGCTGAGAAAGAAGCTGATCTTTCTGCAAAAGAGCGTGCTTCTGTGAACAAGCTTCAGGAGCTGAAGGATGCTGCCGTCTCTACCCTAGCAGAGGTGCGCAAAAAATATAATGTCGAGCTTTCTGAGATACTTGATGCCAATGGAAGCAAAGACAAAAAGGTAAAACCCCCAACCGACGACACCAATGCATCGCTCCCTTCAGACGAGCATAACTCTGCTAAAGGGTCGGGCAAGCCATCTGAACCTTCACCAGTTGAGGTTAAGCCGCGCCCTGCACTGAAGGAACTCTGTGAGCAGATGGACGCTAAAGGCCTTCTGAAATATATTTCAGAAAATTCAAAAAAACTTGCTGGCTTTCGTGATGAACTTTGTGTTGCACTAAAATGTGCAACTGACCCTGCGCGCTTTGTACTTGATTCCTTGGAGGGTTTTTTCCCAGACCAACTGCCTGGGGATAAAAATTACTCTGCTCAGGGGCAGCGCAGAAGCTGTATTGTTTTGATGGAGGCTCTAGCACATTCAATAGGAATGAAGGAGCCGGGTGGCAAACACCCTTGGAGCTCTGAAATTATGGAGCAAGCCAAGGCAATTGCCAATGAGTGGAAGAGTAAGATAGCTGAGGTTGACCTTGATGCTTCTGATGGCTACTCATTGGAAGCACATGCATTCCTGCAGCTTCTTACAACTTTTAATGTTGATTTGGTGCTTGACGAAGATGAACTATACAAGATTGTAGTTGCCATTTCTCGTCGCAAGCAGACTGCTGAGCTATGTCGCTCTCTTGGTTTGACTGAGAGAATACCAGGTTGGTATCCACTCAGAATGCCGCAAGGCATTATCATCCCTTAATTTACCAGGCTGGTGCCGGTCATGATTTACTGCTAGGCCCCACAACCATCTATGGAATAAATAGCGTACTACTATGTGAATACTGTAGACGTTATGTATAAATGCGGTATTCTATGGTCCTAGTGCTGATCATTTGTTCTGCAGGTGTTATTAAGGAGTTGATTAAGAAACACAGGCAAATTGATGCAGTTCAATTCATACAAGCCTTTGGGCTGTCAGAGGCTTTTCCTCCTGCTCCTCTCTTGAAGGCATATGTAGATGAGATAAAAGGCTCACTTAACAATAAGGGGGATGCCGGTGCAACTCCTTCAGTGGTCTGTTCTCTCTACTTACTTTTTGACACGTTGTTGATTTTCCAACACATGTTAGTTATTAGTAGTGCAGGATTTATCAACTCCACACTTCTTGCTTTGGGAATTCACTGTTAAAATACTCTTCTTTATTTTCTTGCTATAAGGATTGTTCATGTTGATGTATCAGGATGTATTTGGTATACACGAGTTATCAGTAATCTTGGGCACATTTAAATTGAGAAGTCATAATTGAGAAATCTGCTGTTGTATTTAGCCCCCAAAAAACTTTCGTTGAGGCAGGTGGGAAATTACTTTATAATCTGCTTACATGGTGCTGCTATCTGTGAATGATACAAGACTGAATTATTAGGTTGTCTAGCACCCAACTGCCTCATGTCATTCCCTTGTTTCAGAATCCAGAGTAGTTAATGTACATGCTGGATTATTGTCTATTATTGCTTTCTGTGCTTTAATAGTTTCATGTTTAGTTTTCCTGCCATCTTATCCAGTTTGCATTTTATGGTGAGAATTTTGAGCTAATTGTGTTGTGATTTGGTAAAAAAAAACACATGTGCAGGATGACTTGAAGAACCGCGAGCTAATTGCATTGAGGGCCATAATCAAGTGCATCGAGGAGTACAAGCTCCAGAAGGAGTGTCCACTTGGGCCTCTCCAGAAACGCATCAACGAGCTGAAACCAAAGGGCGCGAAAAGGCCATCGGGTTCTGCTAACCGCAACTACGCGAAGAAGCAGCGGGTCTCTGGCAGTGGCACTTCAGCTCCTCGGAGGCCCACTGTGGCAGCTCCCCGCAGGCCCGCAGCTCCAGTCGGCACATGGCAGCAGCGCGCCCCTCCGCCGCCGGTGCCCGCCTACCCCGACAGGTACGGGGCCGCCGCCGACCGGTACCACTACGCGCCGCCGCCTGCCGCAGCGTATGACGCGGCCACCTATGCCGCCTACGGCGGCGGCGGCGGCGGCGAGCAGTACAGGGCCGCCGCCCCAAAGCCGTACCAGTACAACCCAGGATCAGCAGCAGCCGCCGCCGCAGCGTCGTACAACAACATACCCCAATATAAGGTCGTGTATGGCGGCCCCGGCGCCCAGCCATCCACGGCTGCGGGCGGCTACGCGCCCTACGGCGGAGGCTCGGTGGGGCAGCAGCAGCCGCAGCCTGCTGCTTCCTCCGGCGGCTACCTGAGCTACGCCGCCGGGTTCGGCTACCGCCCTTCTCAGCAGCAGTAGAGGATGTGAGCTGAAACTACCCTGTTAGGCCTTTGCTCTTGTATGCAATGTGTACTTCGCTCCCTGGAACCACCCTCCGGACCTTAGAGGAGTGGTGGAGTTGTTTACCATCCATCCATCCATCCATCCATCCCCTAGGGCATCTTGTAGGTGCTGTAACTTGCTTCTTTTTTTTCCCAAATCTTGTCGATGTAAGAAGTCATAAAGAGATTTGTGGTGCTACGTGCATCTTACTTAATATTTCTGTCTGCATTAGCTGTTGCCGTGGTTGCTTGCTTGGAGCTGTGCCTCACATCATGCTGCTGCACATATGTTGGTTTGCCTGAATAATATTTGTGTTTGATGCACAAACTGCATATCCTAGCAGAGGAAGACATTTACCTGGTTGAATCGGGGAGACTTCTGTCTTGCAACAAAATCTTGGCCCGCACATACTTTGAAAGCACCTCCGGCCCTGGTTGAGGAGGAACGCTCGAATTGGCCGTTTTCTCACAGCCAGACCCGAGCGATGTAACTTGAGGCACGTGAGGAGCCACGCTTGAGACGTCGTGTTGCTTCCTGAAGCGTCGTCATA